TGAACTTCTTGCACCTTGGAGCGTCAGGATCAGGGAACAGTTTTCCGTCCCACCTGGGCTCCAATTCCTTCTCCATCCCGTGACAGGAGGTGACAGTGATCAGATCCACTCTCCAGTTGTCCAGAGAGAAACACAGCAACTCTCTGTGGTAATAGATACTACACTCTGGGCTGAAACACAGGATTACACATATAACATTAAACATAAACCATGAAAACAGTCAAAATCTTACTGTACATACACTTTGATCACTAAACTGTATTTAATGTTATGCAGGCATGTAGCAAATGGCTATATTCGACTTTTCTAGAGGTATATATATATATGAACATTCTTACTATCTGGGAAGAATTATTCTTATTGAAAGGTAATCTTTTAGGTGCACTAAATGGTCTGTAAAGGAAATATCCCAAATTCATAAAAATTTCACCTTTGTTGGTTGAGATTCTTGCAGTGTTCAAACTTTTTATCCAGGGCTTCCAGCTGCTCTTGGCTCTCCTGGTATGACCAGGGGTAGCAGAATGTGAAGTAGGTGGTCGCACCTCGATACTCCAAGAACCGGTGGGTAAAGCTCAAGATGAAGTCTTTGTCTGCATTCTGGAAAGATAAGATAAATAACATGTTACATTGCACATTCAAAGAGTTCTTAATAATGCCATTCCAAGCTAAAAATTTTATCAAGAACAATTAGTTTATTTGTTGTGGCTAAACAGCGTGAAATAAACGCCTCATTTTCATTACAATTCTCATTGATTTTATAAAAAAGTTATTGAATTAAAAATGGGGAGCTAAGTGATGAGAACAAAAATAACACACAAGGGAAACCTTGCACACAATATGATGCTTTTAAATAAGAGCAGTTTATATATATATATATGATCACTGCCACATGTAGACAACAGAAACTTATTGATTTGTACTTCAGCAACCAGGTATAATCTTTTATTAATCCATGTGATGTAAACTTCATCTAAACTAATGGGGTTCCAAGAGACCAAGATTACACTGCAGATTACAACAGATTTACTTGTAGTGAAAGGAATTTCATTGCATACCCACATGTACTTATACAATTAGAAAGCAACAAATATAATAAAAATGAAAGTCTAAGTCAATTGCTTTAGTTACAAGAAACACGTGTGCAACTTTTAATATGCAATTTACTCCCATCAGTTGCAATCTGAAAATAAAATCTAGGAGTGGGTCCCCATCCCTGGATCGATCTAACAGGATCGATCCATTTCTGAGGGGTTAATTACCCTCTAGCAGCTTCAATAGGTGTGACAGTCATCTAAGCTGCCTAAATTGATTGCAATTTAATGAGAATCCTCTTGGAGATAGATCGATCCACAGTTAGTACGACAGGGTCTGGGAATGGCCCTTAGATCAGGTCCTGGGCACAGAATGACATTAATCCAGTAAGCTTAAATAACTTCACTGTGGAAGCCTTATCAACAAATTTCTTGACATGAACATGGTTCACAATTCCACTCATTTAGAGAAGACTCAGAACAGAAGACTCAGAACAGAAGACTCAGTACAGAAGACTCAGAACAGAAGACTCAGAACATATTCAGACACCGTGCACACACCTCCCATGTGGGTCTGTCTCTAATCCTCTCCCACTTTGGTTTCCCGGGGACAGTCTTCACCAGAGGGGCATGGCCCTGGCTGTACAGCTTGCCTTGCTTATTCAGGTTCATGATGTTAATCTTGATGAGGCGACCTGAGGACCCGCCTCGCACACCAAAGTGGAACCAAGTTCTGGAATGAAGCAACACGTAATTTACCCAAATGAGTAATTAATACCATATTTGCATTTTTTTAAGTTTTAAAGAATATGTTTTCACACTCTTTAGAATAACTGTTTGAGTGTTTCAAATAGAAATATGATGCAAGGAGAAATAAATAAATACTCCATAAATCAACTGATATTTTCAACAATGCAATATTGCTCCTGTCACCCATTATACACAAACCACTGGTCTTGCTTATGTCAGAATACAGTTTTAGTTAATTGCTAGATTATATTTTGGAAATTTATATAAAGGTATGATCCAAAGATCAATCTATCTACTCGTCTTGCAGCATTTCCAATATGCATAAATATTCTGGAAGGCCATGAATCCTAGTTTCACCGAATCCCTTTTTCCTTCATGTCGGCTATCAATGACCACTTTAATCAATAAAACATCAAAGCCTTTATTAAAAGCAGCTCTGTCATGCTCAAAGTATTGTTAGACTAAAGGAATCTATTGACCTTCATATCTGATCAATAAAACCACAGCAAGCTTCTGATTGATGAGGATAAAATGGGAGATTAATAGAAATCATACGTGATGGAAATCCTATTGAATTCAAATATTGCTCAATGTGTGACAATACTGCAATATGTCTGGAGTTATCTAATTTACAGTAATATGGCTTCAAACCACTTGACAACCATTTACTTCAAAAGTGTTTTATGGTACTTCCAACTTCTTAAAATTTTAATTATATCAAATGAAGAATAAAAACATGCTATGTGGTTTTAGTAAACATATACAACATACTAGTACTAGTATTATCTGAGTGTGTTGTATGAAGAGTCTCTCCTTCTCTGTTATTTACCTGTTTCCATTTTCAAAAGGTGTTCCTGCGCAGTCAGGTTTAGTCCACACATTGAATTCATAGTCAGGTCTTGGCTCAGTGTAAGACCCACCTGGACAAAGAAAAGATCACATTAATCTTACTGACTTGAAAGATCCTAGGTAGTATTTACTGTTCTAAGTTCATACTTGAAATGCTGAAGAAAAAAAAAAAAAAACAGGTGTTTACAAAAGATACCAGGTGTTTACAAAAGATACCCTATTGTATACAATATAACTATGCCCACATAGAATTAAATAGTAAAGAATCTTTAGAACCAATTACATAAATATAAAGCCAAGGAGTTGGGTGAACTTGGTAATGTACAATGACAAGTAGCACCTGTTCATATTATCCTGATAGACAAACTTGTATTGGAACATGTGTGCATGCCTGCCTGTGTTTGAAAATGCATGGATTGCACAGATCACAATTGTAAGGGTAGGGAATAACAAGCTTAGACAACAGATAATCTCACAAACTGAGAATGTTGATCTATCAAAGAATATCTGGGCATATAACCAAGGCTTGTCCTTGCTTCTATCCGTCACTGCTTACCTGAATCGCCTTCGTCATCTCGTGTGACCCTCTCTACCCTAGCGAGGTTCCCAGAGTCAAACTTGGAGGTAAAAAGCAGCCCTCCGCACCGACATTCCATTGTGTGGAGACAATCACATCTAAAATAGTAGAAGTCACACATGAAAAAGATCATATAACAACAGTCTCTCCAGTATATATATATACACAGTACCGTAAGGACGTCTTCCTGTGGTAATGTTTAAAGCATGGAAAGACACAGGGTTGTATCCAAAATTTAACTCTGATAGGAAAAAAAATGCTCAGTAAATATTTAAAGAAATTATGCAATGTGTTTTTTACTCTGAGCATTTGGATTATAAGTAAAAGGTCCCCATTTCACAGCTGTAATGATCGGTGAGATAAGACCTCTTTTATCTATGTAGATTGTTTTATGACTTATGTCCTGTTGAGATATCTGTAGTTAATGTCTCATATGATATCAACATACCCAAGAAATGGTTCTGTATTTTTATTTCATGTTTAGATCTACTTGTTTAAATTTTATTTGGAAGCATAATCATGATAGAAATGTCTGGTTTAGATTCTTTTCTTTAGAATTTCACAACAAAATATATAACAATATAATAATAAATAGATAATAGTCTCTTATTCATTATTTCTAATGTTCCTTCTACGTCATGATATAAATCCTCCAACCACCATAAAAAGAAAGACTAATCAGCTAAACTCTATGAGCTGTTGTACAACTTCAGTGATAAGTACATGTACCATAAACACTGATGAACATGTATATATTAAAAGATGAGACATTCTTCATTAAGAATCAGTTCAGTTGATCAGCTATGGAATAGAAGGTTTTTAGAAATAATATGTACAGAGTAACAGTGTGAGCAATATAAATGAAATGAGAACCATCAGATCATAGAAGACAGCTGTCACAGCTTCTGGCCTCAGAAGACATGGTGCTGCTACAAGCCTCTCCTCTCGTTATTTCGCAATTTGCATACAAATTTTAGTACTCAAACGTGATACTGAATATTAAGTTTCACTAAGCAGAACATAGTCACCAACGGAAGCACAAGAACAGCATACTGTGCAAGTACACATATAAATTATATTACAATAACAAGTAATGTTTCAACTTTCAAGACTTGTCTACGTTGTGAGCTTCTTGAACTCAAGTTCAAGAAGCGATTTCTACATAAGACAACCCAACTCACAAGGGATATTCTTGTAAATGAAGTGTGCATTTACCTTTTTTAATTTTTTCCTATCCCTTTTCTTCTGACATGTAATAACTAGGAAATCCTGGGTCGTAGTTTTTAGATTGAAGTACAGAATAAACTATCCGTTGCTGTCACATGACCTAAATCTGGCCTTTAATTGGCTCGTTTAGCTTGGTCACATGATAGCTAAAATGGCCGATAAATGTCCCATTTTCGAGCACCTGATGCCTCTAGTACAACAGAGGTCTTGAACGTTGTGCATGACAAAATTGTGTTTTGTAAAATTTAACTAACCAAATAATTAGTATTAGCCTTTGGCTTAAAAAGATGTGAGCGGGTTGGGAAAGACCGCGAGTATTTTAGTATACATATTTTAAAGTTTGGATCACTGAGGTAGTCAATGCCAAAAAACGAGGATATATTTTTTACCAGAAATTTTGGTCCAAGTAAAGTTATGTTGCAGTGTGGTTTATCAATCACTTAAGCAAACACAGGGCACAAGATTTTCAACAATTAAAAAAGAATATATTTTTTTAACTAATTATGTCAATGTCCCCTTCATTTTATTTTCCTGCATAAGCCAAATTCAGTTACTTGCATTCTTTGACATTTTATTTTCGGTAAATATTACAATTTTTGAGTAGGAGCAATCGTATAACTAATGACAATATGTCATATGCTTGGAAACAGGCCAAATAATGCTCTTCCTGTACTCCTATTAATTTTAATTACATTTTCTTTGCCTATATTTTACATTATATACATGTATGTATATTGAACTAGTACAATGGAAGGGAAAACATGAATAGCAGTGTTAGAGACCGACTATTCAGTCTTGCTTGGAAACATTAGTGTCAACTATTTGAAAAGTACAACAGAATTTTTGGAATTATTACACTCTATGAACCATTGACTTAAAATTATGGAAAAGAGGCATATCATTTTAAGTGAGATATATTTCACAAAAATGAAAAATACATGCATATATATTAACATGAATGAATTATAATTGTATGCCTAAGAAATCAAAATTATAAAAAAATAAAATTATGAAATCACATCGCTCTCAATAATCTGTGCTGAAAGTCCATTCATAATTGTTCGATATATGCTTATTGATAAATAAAAATATCACAGTTTTCCCACAGCTTTAAAATTTACTTTTGGAACATTATAATGCCATTAATTCAGTGAAGCCCAGGATTATTCATACATGCAGGGTTGAATTCAGTGTCCCCAGCCTTCCCAACTCAATGGTGCTCTCTCATACTAGGACAGGTATATTGTGCTGCATGATTTACATATTAAAAATCTCACTGCTCTAATATAATATAAATGTTTTGTTCTGTCCTCTCTGCCATCCAAATATCTCATCCCATTGCTATGTACTTATTATATATTTGTACTTAATTGTTCTTTTCTCTCTGCAATCCAAATATCACTTTCCTTAATTTTAGGTGAATTTTTCCACCTTTCATTTGTTTATTTTTAACTCTGGAAGTTTGGTGCCCCCCTGAGCCATAGTGGCTTTAACATGTGCTTACAGTAGTCTGCATGAATCCAGCCCTGCCTTGAGGCCTCCAGTAAATAAACTTAACATGAAATGACTTATAGAAAGTTTACAAAGAACACTTATGGGACAACACAATCTACTTTGAACAATTAATCACTGCTTTTAATGTTGTAATTAATATTGTCATTCATCATGACATATTTATGGTGAAGCTCTGCACCAGGTAACTTAACTGTATCAAATTTCATTAATAAATTTACTTATGAAACAATAAACATTTCTTGAATGTCAAACAAAAAGCAAATACAATAACTGAGTACAAGACTTATTGCACAGTTTCACATTTGATTGACCATTAACGCAAACAAGACATTGAAAATCCAAATATTGATTTAAATGCCAGGTAAAGAAGTTAAAAGGTATGCTATCTTTATTAGATCACTTCCAAAATCATTCCCAATGTCAGACCTTTGAGTGATAAAACCCCTGACATAAAAGTATCTGATGAGGATATTTCCATCTGAAATGTACAGTAAGACAAGGTCTCAATGACTGTCAGTCATTTAGAACTATATAACTTAATTAGATATGATAAAATACTATAAATCCAAATGCAGGGATGGGTTGAGCAATGGAAAATTGCTTTTTTTTTATTCTTTGTTTTTAAGGAAAATTTATTCCGCCAAGAAAAGCCCAAGACAGGATACCATTTACTGAAGACCTGGATATGTGCTGTAAATATTTGTACATCTTCTATTCTAAAAGTATACTTCAAGTAAGTTATAGTGTGCATTAAGATATATACAGCCAACATTTTGATAGCACACTTTAAATAAGTCATTGTAGGCTTCAACTGAAGCATCAGACTGAGTCTCTTTTTTTCACCATATTTGGTGAAAAATAAATGGTAGGCAGAATGAGGCAAATATAAAACAGTGGACAAGTTTTTTTCATCATAATTTGTAGGGCACAGGGATTGATTTTTGTTGGTTTTTGCTTTGTTTGATATGTTATACTGTCACCTATTTTCTTTTTCGAGGCCAAAGGTTGGTGATACAAAACAAACAACAAATACACCCCACCCCTGTTCCACCACAGTAATCATACAGAATAAACTTATATTATGCATAATGTGTTTCCACTTTACTTAAATCAGTGAGGTGAATAATTTACTTGCATTTTGCTAGAACATAAAATATACAATTTTAAGATCTGTTCACTGATTATAACCATATTTTTGAAAGCATTCAAATGTAGGTATTACCTGTAATACTTCAATTAAGCACCTAAGCACATAAACATATAATAATAAAATGTTGTAGTTATAAACACAGAGCCCCTGTTCACTCAGGCACTCTACAAATGATCCATTAGCATGTCACTTTCTCTTGTGGGCAAGTACAACTTAAATTTTAGTTCCATGACCACAGAAATCACTAATGCCTGGCAAATAATTCTGATGGGTACATCAAGTCCTGCCTTTTATTCTCCACCCCTGTTGCCCTACTGTCAGAAGACCTGGGGGACAGCCCATCCGTCCAAAAAAAAAAAAAAAAAAATGCGCTTTGTTTGAACATGATTTTGGGTTGTAAAAATAGTGGGAATAAATGTTCTGTGGCATTATGATGGTGGTGGTGGGGAGGGGGGGGGGGTTAAGTTGTAAAAATGCCAATAAAAATTGGATTTTTGATTTAAAAAATCTGTGAATCAGACATCCATTTGGTGTCATTCCCAGATCCTCTGCTTATAAGGGAATATGGCACTGATCTCACATTTAGCAAAAAATATTAGTTCAACTCAAGGTGACATTTTAGTAAGATAAAAGGAAGAAAAATGGAAAATTCAAGTCATCATTCAGGAGCCTTAAAACAGCTCCATTCCTTCAGTGCAAAGACCATCTAACTACCAATCTTCTTCCTCTTCATCATCCTCATCATCTTCTGTTTGTGGTTTCCCTACACGGTCAGCCAGACCCAACACATAGCCCTTCATCTCTGAGGCCATCTGGGAGGAGTCTGGTTTCTCTGTTAGCACCCAGGTCTCATCTGTACTGCTTACTGTGGCTCTGCACACGGGACACGTATGGCTTGACACACTCCTATAGAACAACAGAACAATTTATTATCTCATGAATCTCAAGAAGCCTATTAAAGTTATGGTGTGCAACATAAAAATCAAACCACAAAGGTGCAAGTTGTACATTATAATTCTTTTTTTTTCTTAGCTTATGTATATACACTGTTAAGATTCACATCATAATCTCAAGTGTCTGCAAGATCCACGAACATTGTGAAGTTATGAACTGATAACAAATGAAGAGATCTTGATTATCTCATGAATCTCAAAAAGCCTATTTAAGTTAAGGTGTGCCACATAAAAATCAAACCATTAAGGTGCATGTTTTTTTACTTTATTTTTTTGTTGGTATGTAGGTGTCATTCTTAGCTTATACACTGTTAAGATTCACATCATAATGTCATGTGTCTGCAAGATCCACGAACATTATAAACTGATAACAAATGAAGGGCAGACAGGCTTGAAAGGACTGTAAGATTAATTCTAATGATGTCACATCTTTCTGTAACTCTGGTTATCTCAAACATTTGTATTTTTTCTATATAGCCTGTATTTATGCCATGAGGCATGTTTCAAGCTGTTAAAGGAACAAAAAGGTCATAGGTTTCAAGGATAACAGTAAATCATTCCCTTGGCTCAAGCTGTGAGAAAATAAAAAGTGCAATGTAAACCTGTGTATGATGCCAAGACAATTTTATTGATGAAAAAAATCAAATGCCAATCCCTTCTTGTAGCAAAACTGCACTGTTTTCATTTCTCTACCATAATCACATATATATAGAGCTGGGGAAAATGTAACAACTTACGTGAGAACACATAGTAATATAACATACTTACCACCTGTCAATACACTGTTCACAGTACAGGTGAGCACATGGTAATATGACATACTTACCACCTGTCAATACACTGTTCACAGTACAGGTGAGCACATGGTAATATGACATCAGCTTTTCTCTCCATACAAATAATACATTCATTGGCTTCCTCAGATGCACATGACAAACTGTCAGCTCTGAAAAGCGATAAGAGGGAGATTTAGACCCCATTTCCATAGATTTTAGATCAATCTATCCCTGTGGGGAGTCTCACTAGATTACTGTCAGCTTAGCCGGCTTAAACGTCTGTCCCGCCTACTAAAAGCTATAAGGGGGTAATTGACTATGGTGCGTGCTCGGCTAACTGCAATTTAGCATGAACCCCCAGAAAGTTAGGTCGATCTAAATCTTAATCTCTGAATCGATCTAAATCTTAATCTCTGAATCGATCTAAATCTCTGGGAATACACCCTTAGACAATGCTCTCCATTTCCAATGTATATATATTCTGTTAATGACTTAATGTATCAAAAACAAATGGAATGATTTTTTAAAAAGATAATTCAAGATAACACACAAAAAAAAAAAAAAAAAAAAAAAATACAAACCAGCATTGAAAAATAATTCTCTACAGTGACAATAGAAAATAGTTTCTTTGGTAGAACAAATTATTTACCATTTTTGTACATGACCTAGGGTTTAATAATACATTTTTGAGGATTACTACAGTGGTGAAGTCATCTCTTACTTACTCTGACAGTATAATGGAGGCAGTGAGAGCTGTCCTCTTAGGGTCTGTGTTCAAGGAAGATGACTCAGCTTGTGCAATAATCTCATGATACAGACGTACAAACTGCTTGATGTTCAGTATCCTGGTAGACTCCACATGACCACTCTCTGACATGACCTGGAGTATTGGAAACTGACATGATGTACACATGATGTACAGCCATACACATAATATATACATGATATATACATGATGTACATGTAATATACCCCGACAAAATATTTTATAAATATCTGCTTTATGTCAGAAATAGCTGTAGCGGTGTCACTGCATTTCTTATTGAAACAAATGGCTGCACACTGTTAAAACATGATATTAATTAAGTGAAAGTTCTAAGTCATCCAAAATAATAAGAATCAAATGAAATGGAAAATAAAATGACAAGCAGATGTTGCAGTGTCATCTTGAGACCTTTCATTTTAAACTTTTACACAAAAGTTCAAAAATTTCTTAAATTTAAAAATGCATTTTGATTGTGATAACTTTTTTTTCAGAATAATCCATCACCAATTACCTTCATGCACCTAATCCTGACAGCAGCCTTCCATAGCAGAGTAGAATCAGTGCCTGGTTTTACCTGGAATACCAACTTCTTCCCAGTGTCATCTGTAAATGCCTCTGTACTAAAATAATGAAAAACATGAATATATATAACAATGCGTTACATATATGTCAAAATAACAACATTATCATATTATTAATGAAATCATTTGTACAAAAATGTTAAAGAGAAAATACCATGCAATCCATGCTTAATTATTTCACAGATGTTTGTTTAGACGAAGTGGTAAGAGCAACTAGTTAAAACTAACTTGTTGAAAGAAAATAAAATAAAATAAAAATCCTAAACAATGAAGTGACCTACATTTCATTTACTTGTCTCACAGCCTCCAGGAATTCTTCATAACTCAGTGCAGCTATTTCCTTGAGCTGTGAGGCTTGGTTCCTCAGTTTATCATGCACCCACACCACCTGTGAGGGGACGTTCTCACGCAGGCTTTGTCCCTGACCCATGGATACCTTCTGCTCTTCTAGGAGACTGAAGTAGGACAACATTATGCCAGGAATGTGTATCAAAAGGAGTGCTTACGCATAAAATTCGTTCTACACTTCCCATTACAGTGGCCCCGTCCCTCTGGTTAAAATAAAAACACAATCCCCGTCGCAGTTAAACTTTAAGACAAAACTGTGAATTCAAATGCAACATCTATAAATGTGAGGCTGCGATCTCTCAAATACTGAACCAGTTTGATATCAATGGAACAAAATATAGAACTGGAAATGGTCCCTTCTCATTCATTCACAATGAAGGCCTCGAGGCTCGAGTGGAAGGAACTACAAAACTTACAAGTAAGAGATGACAACAGATCGTAACTAACGGATTTCACAGTTTTATGAAATAGTAACCACTTACTATTGATCCTAGGTAAAACTGCCCTTATTCTGTGGGAACATACTTCTGTTGCTGTCCTGGTTCATAAAAATTTCGCAATTTTATACAATTATTTTTCTTTCTGTCTGATGACCAATGTGAAGTACGTCATCAAAATATGGGTAAACATTGCCGGTGACGTCACGTCATTTAGTGTCGGTACACAGGAAGAGTGAAGCTAGCAGGTGTGACAGCCAAATTCAGTTGTGGCGACTTTTCTGCAAGATTCTACCAAAAAGACGTGAGTTGATTAAGCAGATTCCATCTTTTTCAAATACTTATGTCGTGACATTGTAATCTTTCTGCTTGTTTGTATAAGTATTGAGAGAAAAAACACTCTAAAAAACTTTCTAAGTAAGTTTGACGTGACTGTTATCGTGTTGAATCAAAGAAAATTGAAGATGGACTTTTTAAGTGTCAAGTTGTTGTTCATTGACGCGCTTTTTGTCGCAGCTCCTGTTCTGTTTTCAAGTTTTATATCCATTATGTTTCCTTTCTTGTTAATGTCAGTGTTATTAGTAAATCCCTTAAGTGTCCAGAGATTGTAATACAAATGACTTCTTGTCGTTGGCTCAATGAGTGTATTTATGAGTCACCATTGGGCATCGCGTTACATATTAATTCTATGTATGCAGTTTATTGTAATCATAAAGTGTACCGGTAATCTGATAGACTTTGGCCTTAAATGATTAGGTACTGCATTCATTACTGTTGTTATCAGTGAGGCAACTGTACAGCAGTTTAGTTGCCAGCTGCCTGTACGAAGTCGTTTCCTTGTTAGTCTTAGATACTACCAGTTGACATGTACCCACATTGTAAACATTTCATATTATATTTGAGTTAGTTTTTAGTTACTGATTATGCCTAATTGACTGCGTGGGTGCAGTAAAGTCATTATCATGAATTCTGTTACTGTATTTTTGATAATTTGCCAATGCCAGGTGATATTTACAGGTTAATAATTTATCTTAAACAGCCTGCAGCACTTTGGTGGAATGGACATGTTATGTAACATTACATACCCAATGTATTTAATTTCACAGAATAGAAAACCACATGCAGGATGTGCATGATTTGTTGTATTTGAAAGACAGTTGATGTGCTCTAATTATAACATCTGTCATTTTTGTCAAAAATTGTCAAGCTATTCTCTTGAGGGATAAAATGCATGGTAGCATGTGTATTTTATGATGTGTGCACTAAAACAGTAAGCAGTAAGAGAATCCTTTGAAAATTGATTTAGTTTTTGGGCCAGATGCCCATATATTTCCCAAAACAAAAACAAATTCAGATCTAAGGACTTTTTCTGTTAATGGTGGATTGTGTGACTTTCATCTTTCTGTTGATCGCATCATTTTATAAGGAAGAAAGCAGTTGTTGGAATACCAAGAACAAAGTTTTGACTAAATTTAATAGTTTTTATCCATAGAATCCTTTAATTCAAGTATTCCAGGGCTTTGAAATAAGGTGTATCCTACTGCGCTGTGTGTTATCAAGGAAGGAAGTCCTTGTGGAGAACTAGGTACTTTATGTCAAATTATATGATTGCTGAAAAGTTAGAAATTGTTGTATGTTGAGAAAATCATTTGCAGCTGGATGTCTCGTATATTTGACATGAATAGGCTTTTTTTTATGAAAGTGTGCTAATAAATCCCAAATTTTAGTGGTGTGCTGACTAAGAAAATGAAATGACATGAAGAACCATAGGTGTCTGTGTGAAGATATACGAGCAGTAGACATTTGTCCAAACTGTGACTCAAATAATGATTTTCAGTGATCTCTTTAAAAACATCAAAGAAAAGAACTTGAATTAAGTATGTTTGTGGTGACAAGCTACAAATAATACTGTATTAAGTTTGGATGTTCAAGGTAATAATGAAAGCCTGTGTGTCAGTAGATAATCAAAGTACAATACGGCCTAGTTCTTAACAGATGGTTAGTTGTGATACACTTTCATTGCCTGATTGGTCAGTGGTCTAGGACATCATAATGGAGTCTTCTGTGACCTTTTGTCAGCAGGGTGTCATCTCTGTGTCACCTGTGTATTTAAGAATGATGCCCCCCCCTCTTCTGACTCACTGGTATACCCATTAGCTAAGTTAGAAGTACAAGGTCAATGTATGAATAGCCAGCAGAGATGTAATATGTTTCTTGACCAGTTACATATCAAGGCAGGATGGGCTTTTAATGAGAAAGTAGCCCAGTGTTTGCTAATGGATGCTGATATATAGAGTCTCCAGCAAACTTTGCTAAATCAAAAATCAACAGTTTGATCACATGAGGCTGGTCCATGATAAAAGTAATTCTGGACATTGTTTAGTCCTTCTCCTGTGACATGATATTGTTTGTGAAATATTTATTGCAATGTATTGTGATAACATATCAGATATCTGGCCTATACCCAAACAGCAAGTAGGTGCTGAAATTTGAAGCTTTGGAGATCTTGCTGGAGTCACTTTAGGTAGTTTATACAGTGATAAAGTTACTAATTACTTGCCCCCCAAGGTAGACATCAACTTCAACTTTGCTCAAGGTATCAGGAGAGTCAAAGTTGAAAAATGATCCAGTTTGCTTGTATATCGTTGCATCACACTAAACATTCAGTATTCAGCACAAACAATGTCATTTTATCCTGAAGGTTTGTGAAAATTAATAATGTGTAAGTTTATTTACTCTGTGTGCTATGGAAAGGTAAGTACATTTGGTGGGCCAATAGGTTGCTGATATTGAATAGAAAGGACAGGTGTTGACATAGCTTTTTGATAGCATAGTCAGGTATTTGCACGTGTATTATGTTCCCAAATACGGCCAACGGAAGCAGGTAGCACCGACGCTTACTTAGCACAAAGGCAACTTACACTAATTGACCAAGGGGGTTCATTTGTTTTCCTTCCTTTTTTTACATATGTAGATTTAAAATGGGATCTCACCTTTTCTTATTTTTGACACTTCAGTGCAAAGACCATCTAACTACCAATCTTCTTCCTCTTCATCATCCTCATCATCTGTTTGTGGTTTCCCAAATTGTGGCCAGTTTTTACAAAATGTTTTAGATTAACTTGTAGCAGTGGACTCATGGTTACCTTGTGTGACCCCTGAGTCAAGTAGCAAACACAATGAGTTAATGAAGAGAGGTTTTAACACCTCAGAATAACCCAGTGCATTGGTCTCTGATCACTGTGTGATTAGGAGTTCCTATCAAACCTGTCATTTTGTGTAAAACATTTTGACTTTGATCTTAAATCTAGTCTGTATTTCACAGGGTTTCACAATATCATAAAACTGCTTTGACATTAAATGGGTGCATGGTATCCATTCTGTGTTGAATTTGAGAAATCCTGTGTTAATATGCCTGCTCTTGAAACTCTGTTGAACAAGGCCCTTGAGTAATTCTAATAATTCTAGCATCACTGTTAAAGAGACTTGACCTTTTTACAGTGTTGATGTGTTATTTAAGTAAAGAAAGTTGTCATCAGGCTTGTTTGATTATCTTAGCTGTAAATCTGTAATGAGGGGAAACTGTTGATGTAACAGGGATAATGGTGGTATTTATCTTATCCATCTTAGCTTGTTAAGGTATGGCTGCTGTCTCTGTTAATGAAAGGTGAGATATATCCTTGTCATTGCTGGACTGGCCAGAAAGTCTCACTCTCACCATAATAATTCATACTTTAACCAGGTAAATACAACATGGGTTGGTGTGCCTTAATTGAATCACCAATGAAGTGTCCCTTTAGGGTGAAAGAAAATAGTCCCTAGTTGAAGTAATGAGTGACCTGTCACTCCTAAAGGTTGGAAGTTTGCTTCTGATACATTCCTTAAGGACATTACAGCATTAGGTCCTTATACAAGACAAGTCTGAGATTTTATCAAGATGATTTATACATTTGGTTAGAAAATGATCAAGTTCAGGAAAAACCATCTTACTTCATTGCATTTTGTTGTCAGTGCCGCTGTAGCCAGTTAAAGAGCCATGGTTATGCATTAGCATGTTACCATTTGTGACTTTGCTTATTTACCTTTTCTCCCTGGTTAATCAGGTGTGGTTGTGTGGGGGGAAATACCTGCCCATTGGAATACCAGTGATGTGACGGACTATTGTATTAACGGGGAGGGTCTGAAGGCAGATTCTTTAAGTACATGAGGAAAGAATGCCAGGCATGGCCAGTTGTTGGTGGGTTGTATTACACAGGGCTGGTATACCACACTGATGTGTACACTACATCATACCATGGACTATCAAGAGCTCTGGTATATACGTAGTCACTGTATCAGATGAATGTATGTGTGTTTAGAAAGAGAATTGTCAGGATTATCATGGAGGCATGGAAGTGAATTGTTGGTGCTATGTGTTGAGGTTAAAACTTGAGAGTGCAGAAGCTGAAGTACTCAGTGTATAAAAGTAATGGGTCCATTGATAACCAAAATGCTAGTATCATTAATGGTATAGGGTGTCACATTTCTGTGCAGCATTAAGTATTAGCTATCGCAGTGGGCCAAGACCCTGTAATTGATGAACACATGGCTACCATAACTGTCAGTTTCATGTTGATAAAACTTTTCAGAAAACTTATTCTTCTTTAACCTAGTAGTGGGAATGGTAAAGTCTATCCTTTCATCTCCTTAGCATAAATAACAGTCTTCTTTCTCCATTCCAGAGACACCAACAAGTAGGAATCTGTGCACAGTGACATCTGAGACCTAAGACAAGGCAGAGGACTGTTTACATTGAGGTTCACGTCCCACTGTCACTGTACTCTGACTGTTGTTAATAGACGCATCTCTGAATCTGGAAAAAATGAACTCTGAACCGCCTGAGTAAACGTGACAGGGTTGGAGATCCTGCATGACTTCTCTCGTTGACCCGAATAGCTGACAGATCAAGGCACACACGGAGGTAGAGCAGAGTGTGTACTCAGTGTGTGTTTGGGGGATGTCAGCCCAGTCATAAAACACAAGTATTATTCCAGTTGGTTTGTGTAGTAATGAGATAACTTCCAGCAGTAGAACTGACAGTCATCTGTCCTGAGGTACATCACAGTCAGAAAACTACCACTTCCAGGTGGTGTGTGTGGGTATATTGCCAGAGGATTCTAGTACAACATACATCTTCTGTAGGAAAGTTCAGAGAAGAGAAAGAGAGAGGAATAATAATAATCTCACTGTCATGATAGCTGGAGGCAGGCTGGCTCTGGTGATGACTCTATGGAAAAGTATCTTCTGAGAAGATCAGATGGCTGATGTGACCTGATAGTGGTTGTGGCTTACAGCTGTTTGTGTTCTTTACATTACTACCCGCTGCTATCTCATCTCATCTCATCTCGGATATACTGGAAAGTATCAGCATTCTCTGCAGTGCACCAGTCTAGTGCTATGCTGCAGTCCTAGTTGACGTGGTAACATGGTGGAGTTGAAAGTGTGGGTGGACGGGATTCAGAGGGTCATCTGTGGTGTGACAGAGTCCACCTCTTGTCAGGATGTAGTCATTGCTCTGGCCCAGGCCACAGGAAGGACAGGGAGATTTACACTCATAGAAAAATGGAGAGACAATGAAAGATTGCTCTCCCCTTCAGACAATCCTCTGAAAATCCTTCACAAGTGGGGGGAGTATGCTCATGAAGTGCAATTTGTTTTACGTCAGAGACAGGAAGGCAAACAGAGGACTGATAAGTTTTTACACAATTTCACACCACCACCCTCCCATGGTAGTGTTGGCGGAGGCAACAGTGCAACCAGTATCAAAAAATCCCTAACATTCAGTGGTGCTCACAACTACAGTTTTCAAACCAAACCAAGTGCAAGAGTCCAACCTCGTCATGCTATACAAGAAAACTCATCTCTGGAGAGTCTGGAGGAGGAACCAAGTGCCTCGGACATTCCTCTCTCAAAACACTCTACAGAAAACATCAGTACATCTTATGCCAAATCAGGAGGCCCACCCTCATCATCCTCGTCATACTCCTCTTCTCCATACAGTAGTTTGGACAAAAAACATTATCAAGGTGCTTTCCAGCGAGTGACAAATTCAAGTGCAACTAATTCCACCCTTGGTGGAGGACAGAGCAGCGGTCAGCCGCAAACTTCTGCCCTTTTCAGGTCCCGCAATCAGCCGTACCCAGGGGTGGGAAGGTCCCCTGTGGCCAGTATCGCCCCTCAAGTGGGAGGAGGAAGTTGGAACCATGGGCACTCACACGCCCCTAGTCCTTTGACTGACATAGAGAAAAGTCCCCAAGAATTTGCTCAGTATGATCAAAATCAAAATGCTAAAGGAATTGTTGAGAATCATCAAGATTTAGAGGAATTAGACTTGGACCAGAGTTTAGCCGAGGAAGCGGCTAAACTTCACATAGATCAAGCATTTGGTTTGGACGAGTATAGAAATATAGTCCCTGCTAAAACCCAAACTGATGACCTCATTGAACTGATTAACATGCAGCACGAGAAGCTGGTAAAACAAGAGGCACAGTTAAAAGATCTTGATGAAGGTAAGAGTCATTGTTCTCGGTTGATTTTAACCATGCATAACACTCTAGTTCATGCCTCAATGCATTGAGTGATGACCGTGTAGGCAGCTTCTTGATTCACTGAATATTATGTGCAAGAATGAGATTACAAGTTTATGGATATTCGTCACGCTATAAGGGTGAATACCAACACTACACAAATAGTTAAAAGACCATTCACAACATGTGCTGGTATTTCTTCAGCCTTTCTGGTGCCCTCCTTTCTTACACTGACTGGTTTAGAAACTGACAGATCCCCATAGCTGATGATAGGGTTGAGTTCCTCCCTTCACTGTTGATTGGGCATGACACCACCTTGGCATGCTCTGCTGGGTGTTTTGTACTAGTACATAGGGGAATATTCAGGTTGTATTGTAGTATAACACGGAGATATTCAAGTTGTTTTGTTGGAGGCCCTGTACCACCTGTGGCTAAGGAGGGCTAGATAAATGTGTTTGAACAGAGTCAGTAATGACCTCCTCACTTTTTATATGGCATGATGAGTGGTTTGATGTCTTCAAAGGAGTATTAAGTTCACAATCTGTATGAAGTGAACTACATATTTTCTGCTATTATAGGTTCCAAGCTAAGCCCCCGTGTATTATGATCACCCAGTACCTCCATTAAGCCTAGGTCCCAACTACATTTTGGACGCATGGTTTTTTAGGTTCCTTGCATCTGGCAAGGACGTAGCAAGATCGCAAGGAAGGAATCAATGCACAATGGACCTGCTCCTCACACACAAACTCCCACGTTTTCCCCATTTTTTTGGCCATAGACCACACGTAGCAGCCTGTACGCTCGGTTGGGACCTTCTCTACTTCTTCTCTTAGTGTGAACATTCCCATTGCAAACTGTGTAGTTAGGGGGTTTCTGGTGGCAACATTGTGATTTATTTACTGATAACCTTCCTGATTGATCTATTGATTTTATCAGGTGCTGTGCCCTTGGGAATTCAGACTTTCTCACAGTGTTATTGAAGTTGGGTAAATAATACAAACAAAGAAAATAAATATATTTCTGTCATGTTAGTTTGGGGGATTGATGAGAACAAATTGTTTGCATAGATAACTTTTAATGTTTATTAGCATGTTGAGATTTATAAGCAAGATTTATACTAGCTTACATTCCTGGCTGGTCATTGCTCATAACACCATAAGTCTAATAGAAAGTTGTAAGCCAAGAACTTTAAAGAAAAACACATAAGAAAAAAGTGAACTGCATCAAGTGTTTTTGGTTGATTTATGTAGATTAGGCAAGTGTTTAAGCCACATGCTACAGTTAAGAAGATGTGTGGTAGAGTTTTTATCACTGACTGCATGCTTGCCCTGCTATGTATTTAGAAGCACCACCCAGAATTCTTCTCTGCACATACTGTAGGTCAGAAGAGAGAGAGAGGAATGGGGAATGGAAGGCTAGCTAGATACCTCTTGCTTCATCCTGTCTATTATAAAAATCAGTAATTTCTTTGATGTTGATGAAATACAAATGTCAGATTTATTCCATTTACAAGATATTTTATCACAGAAAAGTTTTAGGCAAAAATGGTTTAATTTTTTTAAAACTAAAAAAAAAAAAGATTTTAAACAATATTTTTTCAGTTTTAAACAATATATTTATGGATCCTATTTTGGCTAAGATTTTACACTGTAGTGCAAGTATTAGTACAGGAGTTCAGGAATTTCTAGTTCTTCATGGGTGCATGGCTTTGACACTCCAGGCTGTGTGATTTCTGGATTATCAGCTAGAAATGTGGAATACATGTGTAAACTTGATGACATAACCCATCATTGTTGTGGCCACTGAAAGTCAGTATGAAGATTGGAATGCCAAAAATGCATTATTTACAAGCTAGCTGAGATAATTGTGAACACAAAAAGGCTGTTATTAGGAGAATCAGCTGATTTTCATGGTTAAAAAATGATCATTTTGAAATCAGTCTTATTATATTCTAGATGAGGTTGTAAATTCTAGATCAAAATATGTTTTTCTTGTGAAAATTATGTGTGTATGGGTTCTGTATATATTTACCACTGTATCAGTTTGGTAGGTTTTAGAGGATTGTCAGTGTGATTTTTCTTACCAGAATATGAAATCTCCAAGAATCTATATATTTCCTGGTATCCATACAGGTCAAATAGGAAGTAGTATTTAACTATGATCTGATTTCTCTCAGTCAGTGTTACCTTTTCTTTCTACCTGCAGGAGTGGGTGGGTGTGGGATATGCAAGCTTTTCCTAGTATTGCGAACAATTAACCTTTAAAGCAAAACATCCGTCTTATTGACTTGAAACCTAGATTGCATGCCATATTTTTCTAAAATTAGATTCTAAACTGTCATGTTATGTTTGGAATGTTTTGTATGATGAGCAGAATAAGGTGTCCAGGTACAATGTCCCCCTGTACCATGGTATAGAGCCATGTGGCAGCATCTATGGAATGTTTACTATGAGGAGTGGACCAATACATTACTCAGGGCCAAGCCTGATGCACTACCAGGCACTAATAGAGTAAGACTAGGGCTGTCTGCAATTATGACACACTAGCTATCATTCACATCAATATTTTGGTTCAGACCATTCTATTGTTTTGAAAGAAATTTTAAAATTATAATAAGATGAACAAAAAAAAAAGAAAAAAAATTCAGTCATTCCATTTCAAGCCTTGTCTGCCTATAGTTCTAAATGAACAGAGCAGTTATAATTTATTGTCCCTTAAATTCTGTTGTTTGAATAGATTCTCTGCATATTAAGTCTGGACTGAGTAAGATCCAGTGATTTAGTGTCATTGATGTGCAAATTTTTATTAAGAAGTGGACATATATTAAATTATTATTAGACGATGTAATCAGCCCAGGTTATTCTGCTAGCTAATAATATATTCAACATCATAATTTACAGTGACTTGAAAAGTTTGGTAAATTAAGCTAGGAATAGGCTGGTAATAAAAGGGGATACATACACACTTAATAAGACTTAATTGTCTTCCTATGTTGTTTGTCAGAAATTGTTAACATATAGCTGACCAGGTGTTGAAATGTCCTAACTGAAATAAGCATAGTTGATGTGATGAAGTGTATGCAGAGAGACCAGTGTATAGTTAATGAAATAAAAACAAACCATTTTGAACACTCCAAGAAAAGGTCATATTTTTGTGTGAAATTCCACTGATATTAGCGTTAAAGGGCATTTGTTTCATTACTAAGGCCCATACACAAAAAGTCAACTATTTATTCACAGCCAAAGAGTCCAATGTATCAGTATAAATATAATTCACAGAAGAAGTCCATCAATCATTTCTGGAGTTGACCTGACTTCCTGTCAGTGAAGCCACACCTTGAGAACAAGGTGTCTCCTGTTCTCTTGTCTCCACTCATCAGGTGACAATGATTAGTAATCTATGTGTCAGGTAGAGGAAAGGGTCATAGAACAGGTCAGTGGGCACCTGTTTGGAGATGGAACTGGACCCAAGTGACCCTAGCGGTCTCTCCTTCATGTTAACCAGCTTGGCTCCTAGTAAAAATGGTGTTACGTACACATGGGCTTGTGAACTGTCTCCACCATATAACTGGAGATTTTTTGTGTTGTTACACACGTTGGCCTGTACTGTAAAAAAAAAACCCAGGGAGAGCCTACCACCCAAGATCATACTATCTCAGTCTTTCTTTCAAAGTATGACATACAGGGGTAACCCAGCATGCTAGCACCCCTAACTTTAGTTTAGGGAGAGGGGATATATAGACCTGTTCAGTTATGATGACAGGTAGACAGGGGAGGGACGGGGGGGGGGGGGGGTCTGTGGTATGTGTAAATTATGATAGGAGGGGGAGGGGGGCTAGGTGTGCTTTCACAGCAGATCAAAATATGTGTGCAAGCATGCTTGTGCATGTTTGTTTGAGTACATGCGTGTGTAAGGAATCTTGTGTTTCCATTTAAAGAGAATTGATCTGTGATGCTCCTAAAGTAAAAAAAGTTGAGTGTTAGTCATCTAAAGGTGAGGAGTTGAGCTATCTGTTGATATAGACCAGCGTCAGGGGTGGGATGTGTTACTGAGAAGGTGGTCCACGTTGATGTAAATTAAGATATGTGTTGATGTAAATTAAAGTTGATGCTGAGTAGACAAGATACACAGGTGATTTCACCCTCTATCACCTGTGTCAGCCAGGTAGCAGGAATGAACCAGATTCTTTAGATCTTATCTCATTAGCAGCAGTATAGTACTGACCAGCATGATGTGATAGGCAGACAAGAGAATCCTGGCCTTTTTATATACTTACAGTATTCATATTGTGGTAGAGAAAAACAGACTGATGATTTCCATTTCTGGGCTACAAGCTAGGAATGGTGATAAGGAGTGATGATAAATACCTCATTTTCTACAGGAAGTTTTGTTAAATCAGAATTGATTGTAAAGATTTTCTCAGTAAACACCACAGTTCTGGAAAAGTGTTTTATATAAATACTTCAGAGTTTACTGTTTTAGGTACTAGTTTAAAAATGTAATTTACATGCAGTGCATATTTGATCATTAAACCAATTGATTCAATGAACAAAGGGCATCCAACTTTTGGTAGCCTTTTCCTTCAGAAGAATTCACAAAGAAACTTTTCAAGTAATTCCAAGACCAATCTCCTTGAGAATTAACAAAATGCTCCTCCAGCATTAAAAATTGGAACTTCACCAATGGCTTAGGAATGTGGATACTTAACCTTGCAGCAGAATCCATTAACCTTGGGAGCTGGGGACCTAAGGCTACTGGAATTGTCTGCAGAAAACCTGCTGTGGGTTTTGGCATCAAAACAGAAAATAATGTCATTTTCCTCTTCTTGGGAGTAGCAGCATCAATATCCCTGATGAAAAATAACTGGAAGGAGTAGTGCCAACTTGTACATTTAGTCTAATTAACTCCTAGAACTTAATCACTGTCAATTAACTAGAATTGATTGTTTTACAGTCAGTTTTTTATGCACTGGAAAACATTTTGTAACATGTCTAGCAGATCTGAAAAGTATTTAGGTTTTGGGCTGATTTTGGCTGTTAAGAAAATATTCCGTTCAATACCCCCAGAGCCTCTGGGTCAAGCACCCTAATAGAATTATGGAGGAATATATCACATCATATGATGCAAGTTGGCATGTTGAATAGAATTGTAAGAAACATAGCAGTACGGGTGGTGGTAACTGTGTTTACATGTGACAGAAATAATGAGTTGGGGTTTGTAAAAACAGGGTTCACTTAGAGACCATTCCCAGAGACTATCGTACTAACTTTGGATTGATCTGTCTCCAAGGGGGCTCTCACTAAATTGCTATCAACTTTAGCATGTCCACTGAAGCTGTTAGAGGGTAATTAACTATCGTTTAGTGGCTTCAGTGGCATGCCAGACATATAAGCTGTTTAAGCTAAAAGCAATTAAGTGAGAAACCCCTTGGAGATGGGTCGATCCAGTTAGATCGATCTAGGCATGGGAACACAGTCTTATTTAAACAGTTGAACATTGGTGGCTTAAGACAAACTTGCCAGGTAGTTGGTCTAATGTTTAAAGGCATGCTTAGACTGTTTTAAGAAATCAAATTACTGTCCCTGGCTTAGATATTGCATATTTACCTAAAGACAGAAGTTAAGGAACTATTAACACAGCCTTGTGGAGAAACTGTTTTTTAAAAATTTATTCATGGGGTAAATTTTAGTTTGGAATTTGCTGGAATGGTGGCAGATAATTACTAGTAAATTGTTGAAGTTTGAGGAGAATTTTTCTTGTATTTTTCCATGCCAATATTCTGCAAATGACCAATTTAAGAACTGAAATGTTTAGCACAGCTTCAAGACTTCTGTCTTTTCTCCTCCAGGTCCCATGAAAGAAGTCTTAAATTTAGGTTGTTATATCTAGTTACTTCAGACATGCAGTTTATTTGTGATTGAAATGGAAAAAATTGCACTGAAAGATCTCATTTTCCCCCATGTTGTAGAGGCTGCCTGCTGAGGCAGAGAACTCTGCTGTCGTTGCCGCGGGAACTCTGCTTAGTGTTTCACAAGTTGCCGTGACAAATCTGACCTCATGTTAATTGTTAAATGTAAAAAAACAGTTGGAACTATTTGGAAATTTGATAATTTTGTTTAATTGTAGAATTGAGTAAAACAGACTTTCTTTTAAAGAAAATGTAGACAAATTCCTGAAACACAAGCTAAACAAAGAAAAAGTTGACAGGCTGGGTGGAATAATTACAAAAGTTTAGTTTTAAACAAATGAAATGTGATGTTTTTCTTTACATTAAGGGCATTTGTTCCAATACTACAAATTATTTTGGTGATGCCCTGTAGATTTGACAACAAACCATTCCAAAATGCATTTCCAGGGGCGGATTTAGGCCGTCTTCTGGGTCTTCCGGAAGACGGTCAGATTTTCTAGTTTACATTGAAGGGTATCTAATTTTTTCTGTCGGAAGACGGTCAAAAATGGAAAATGGATAACCAAATATAATATGGAAGACTGTCAGGAAATATTTCTGGATCCGCCCCTGATTTCCTAAAATTGTTTATTACAAGCTCTGAGTATCAAAGATGCAAAATCACAAGTGACAAGATAATTTGATTAAACCTTAATTTTTCTTTAAATAGTGTATTTTTTTCTCATTTTTGATGTTTTAATTTTTTGCAGAGATACAGTACTGGGAGAAGCAAGATAGAGAAAGTTCTCACCAAGCTTCCCTTATTGAAGATGAAATCAAAAGACTTGAATATGCAAAAGAGCAATATGAACTAGAAATGAAAGACACTGATTCAGTGAAACTGGAAGAGGAACTCCAGCTGTTACAACAAAATGACAAAACATTGCAATCTGAAATTACGTTATTTAAGTCCAAAACGTCAAACAGTGAAACAGATCTATTACAGTCTAAGAACAAAATACGGCTTTTGTTGGATGACATAGACGAAGAAAAACTTGCACTGAACAAAAGACAACAGGAAGAAAAGGAAGAAGAACTCAAGATTTTATCCGAGGTTTCAAAATTACAGAAAGAATTGAAAGATCTGCTTACGGAATCTGAACAAGAGCGCAGTAAGGTTGAAGAAGTTGAGAAAGAGGTCAAGGAGGTGGAGGAGTCATTAATAACAAAAAAGAAGGAAATTACTAACCTTGAACAAGGCATCAAAACTGTCAATTTAGAGCTGTTCATGAAGACCCCTACTGAGCTGCATACAGTGGAAATTGCTGACGGTTGGTATTATTTGTATTTTTTTTTCTTATGGGAGGGAATGGTTTTCTTGAAAATGAACTTGTTGTGGGGGTTAGGACAAAAAAGTTATGAGGATAATCTGTATAAGACATGTTGGAATTCGTTTCCATGTAACATATTACACTCAGACTGAACTTGAAATAGTTGCATATTGTCACATCTCTGAGTCAGAAACATCAAATTATCCTATGAAGAACTTTTCAAAGAAATGCCCATTGGAAAATGTCCACCCACCCAATAGGATCTGTTCATACTTCAATATCTGATCCACATGAATTCCACACACAGATAATTAGGCTATTTGTGAAAAGCTTTCTGAAAATTATTTATTGTATGAATTTGTTTACTCTTGCTAGCTTGAATGTTGCATGTTAAATTTAAACTTAAGTAATGGTAGTCATAGTTATAGTAGAAAATAGTTCTCAAACTTGACGGATTAGTATTATTTATGAGGAAGAAGTCAAGCCTAGCTGTTTATAATTCTAGTGCATGGGGAAGTGTATTGAGTTGCAAGAGTATGTATTGAAGTTAGTATGTATGTATTCACCCTGTATCTACCTTATTGTTCAGGCTGAAGTCTGTCCCCCCTTTACCCTGTATTGTAAGCAGTTTCGTCTTCTTACAGTCAGCCTTAGATGTGAAATAACATCTGCATTGCGTTTGTCACAACTAACACAATCTAAGTGGGTGCAACCACCACACTCCTCGTAGCAGTTTAACCTAACTAAGGCACTCTGTTTAAAACAAAGAAATTGTGTCCAGAAATTAAACTGTCAGTTTATTCTACAAGTTGGCTGAGATGATAATCCATTTTCTTTTCTTTAATTTGATGTGATTTTGTGTGATTTGATTTTTATTTCAGACATTTTAAACAAACTAAATAATGCATGTTCAGAAAAATTCTCTCAAACGTCTTTTTCTCTCTTTTTTCTTCACCAGAGTTTTAGTGGATACTGTAGTTTCACTAGAAGAGTAAGCAACTTGAATGTTGATTTTTTGTTGTGGTTTTTTTAACTTTGTTTTTTGCTTGTGTTTGTTTAATTAGGTAGATTGCAAAGAAAAAGGAATATCATATACGCCGTGTCTTTTCTTTGTTTAACTCGGCACACTTCAGTAACATTTTCACTCACTTATGTGGCACCAGCACACTAATGACCATATACATGTAGCTGCTGCCAGTGGAAGGGCATTTAGCATAATTTTGTCATGTGATATGGAATGTTATCAATGCCTGAGTTTATTTATGTTGTATTTCATTCATTAAATTAATTTAAAACCCATATTTATTAATACAGCAGGAATGTGTTTTTGCTATTTATTCGTATGATATCATAAAATATACTCTTAATAGAATAGTATGAATGATTAAATAGTCATTTATATATTATGTGTACAATTTTGCATATTTTGATATAATTGCCAAATAATTCATCGAGTGAATACTTTTTGATCTGCTTCTGAAGCTTTAAGAATTGCTAGAGCATGCCTTTTGACTGCCTGATTCAACAGTTGCATTTAAATGAAAGGCAAATAGTTTCTCTTAGTAAAACAGAGGAATGTCCAACTTTGCTATCGTCTATTAGATTACGTTACAACTATTTTGCCTGTTGCATTTGAACTGGCGAGTGACACTTCTTTTAAACATAAGAAACATCCATAATTTGACTGTTCTATGCATTCATTTTAGGTTTCTCCTCAACCCGGCCCATGTCTCCCATCCCCCCAGGTAGCACAAGAAAAATGACCAGTCTACCCCAAAAGCTGGCAGAGACAGCGCCCACTGCCAGAAACCCTCAAGGTCTGTGGGTGTGACCCTGCGTCCTCTGGGTGTGTGGGTGTGATGGTGATCCCTACCAGGAACCCTCAGGATTTGTGGGTGTGATGCTAGTTATCTTCAGTCGTGAATCTTCTTGAGATCTTGGACACCACATCAGAACTCATCCTCATCATCATCTTCATCAGAATGGTATTTTTCATTAGCAAAGAACTAACTTTATATTACAGTATACTGCAATATGTATTTATATCTATATCCTGCTGGCAGAGTCTGCCCCCGGGATAATAGTACCATTGGGTTTAGAAACTTCTCAATTAAACTTAGAAATGCCACACGTGTCATATCTTTTGCTCTGGGCGCTTCTATTTTTAATCTGAGAATTTGTGCTGGTCCAGTGCCTTAAAAGTCTATGCAGAGAATGAATGAATTGTGATATTGTGATGTAAATGGAGGCAGGCAAATGTTTGGATTGAGGTGAATTTTGACTGCTTGCAATTTTGTTAAAAAATGATAGTTTACCAATTTAACTTTTAATATATTAAGACTTGTTTTTTGACTGTGCTGATCAGCCGTTGACTGAACATTTGTATGATAAAATTACTTTTTTATTAAAGATTTGCCTTTATCTGTATATCATTAATACAAAAAATATATATAAACTATATCATTTTTTAAAAAATTGTAATGATGAAGGTGATTGACATTTCATTGATGTAGACGTGCAGTTCTCCCGCCGCAGAATTCAAGACCTACATTTCCAATTCTTAGTTGCATCCAGAAAGGACATTGATCATTGTAATGAAGCATTATTTTGCTATTACTTTACAAAATCATAGAAAACATTATTGCCATAAGTCTTGTAGACATTGCCATGTAACATTTAAGAAAAATAGAGGTGTTATTTCTATATCGCATAAACTTTAATAAGCAATATCATTTCATGGTTTGAACAGCTTTTGTTTTTCAATTTTCATTAGACAAAATTTATTATGAAAGAACAATTTTATAAGATTTAATGTCAAACTAAAAAGCTAAATGCATGACTCAAAATGGTGATAAAGCAAATATTAAGACTGAATTGATATCAAAATATTTCTTTGTAAACATTTTATCATATTTTTTATAAAAACAATTTTTCTGACAGTGGACATACTTTGCTTCTCATCTAGAATCTGTGGTTTATAAAATTTCTGAAGCGTTCCATTTGCTTTTTGTGCAATCTTGCCATACGCAGGTGATGATCTGTGACTGCAGTTTTGGATATAGTAATTTTACATACAGGTTTTCATTGCAAATGGCTGAAAAACTCGGTTTCTGGACATTTACTTTTCCTTTGTCATAAGAAAGCTATTACCAATAATCGGGTGCTCTGATTATGTCAGTTACTAAGCTCATGTACAATACTCTTCTGGGTGAGTATTCACTTTATTACCACAGAAGGATAAATATCCAAGGGATAAAAATCCAGGTTTATGCAACAGAGAACAAATGGATGAATGTTTTGAGAACACATGAATATTAAGTTTCTTGTATGTCTTTTGTATCTTTAATAGGAGTGAAAAATTGGCTGAGTTATAAGAAATACAATTTTTTCAGTGGAAGTGCAGGTAGTAGAAACAATCGCAGAAATCTTGCAACTTGGAAATGATTTTTCTGGTGTCTTCATTGAGGCATCAGTTTTGAAAAAAAATAAATAAAACTAAATAAATAAAATAAAACTATCTAGCACATAGCTTTGGCTACCTGTGGTTTTCCTGATATATATGCTGAATTAGTTATAGTATAAATGGTCAGAATATTTATATAGCTTGAGATTTTATAGTTCTCACAAGAACTTTATTTCATGCTTTATTATGTATTCATAAATGCTAGACGGTATTAATTCAATTTTCCCTCATTGTAAATAGAAGAATGAAAAATATAAGATCAGAACTTATTTAGTTATTTCTTTTTATTAACTTCTATGAGTATAATGAATTTTGCATATTTTTACTATCTATGCAACAGTATTAATACTTCTATGAATACAGATATTGTTTTAAAAAAGGATTTGTACTTACTCTGTCTGATTTCATTTCAACTTATTGCAAAAAGTTTAAAGAAAACCTTCCTGAGTGAAACCTTAAAGTCCACACTCTTACGTCCCATAGCCCATCATTTGTAAACTGTGGCTTAAGGCGTGGCAGGGAAAGGGTTATCCAGCAGAAATGGCTGAAAGAACAGAGTGAGATCTCCTAGTTCTTCTTCTTTCATCCTGTTACAGTAACGTACATTTACACCAGTTCATTTTTCTGAAATGGTATGAAGACATCTTTTGTTAATTTCTCGGCTTGATTCATTGGTGGAACAGATGTATTTTTTACAGTATGTTGCTTATTCCCAAAGAAGCTTTCTTGGAAATCAATATCTATTAGTCTGTTTTTTTGTCCTGCCCTATGGCTCATAGCCGCTAGTGGTTCCTTACAGTGTTTTAGCTATTGTTATCCACAGCATGTAAAAGTCCTGTTTCCACACGTCCCTGGAGGACTGAATTGTCCAGTGTTATGGCGGGTAATGTGTTGGCAGATAAATGCCACGACTGTATTTAGAGCCCACAGCAGAATTCTGCTCACTGCAGACGTGGAAACCTCTATTGTCACTGTCACACGCACAAGATATTACGTTGTATCTCTGTGCAGAATAACAGTGACAATCGTGGCTACCATCTCGCTGCCACCTCCGGGAGTCCGGAACTTTGGTAAATATGGTTGCCTCTCTCTCTCTCTCTGAGCCTTGCGCACGCTCACTGTTCACTAGCCTGTACCTACGCCAGTCGCGGCTGCAGCTGGGGCATTATTTGTAATAATAAAGTTCTCACTGGTACGAGCCATAAATTATACCAAACTGCCTTCTCATGCTAATAGGAGAACATTAACACGTTTGCAGCATATAGATCATCCAAGGTGAATGAGAATTTCAGAAGACTACTGCTGTCGTTATACTTACTTGACCTCTGCTACAGATTTGTCTGCTGATCTGCAAATTGTTCTATGTCCAGACAAACACATGAATGGTTTGATTTCACATTTCCTAACTAGGCAATGACAGATATCTTTTTTCACAGAGATTTTTTTGCCTTCTTTTGGAAGAGTAAAGGTCTTCTGAGCCAAATTTTGCCTTTTTTGTACATTTTATTTCTTCAGTGTAAAGCTGGAAATACTTGATTAACACATTTTTATTGTAATTAATTCTTTTTTGTGGTTTTTCAAATTATTTTTTATGCTTTCAAGTTTATCTACAGCAGTTCTATTAAGTGAATTCAGTTCAACTATGTAATCCTCTTAGTTTGTTGCATAGATTTCACTAAACATCATTTCACACACACACAAAAAAAGGAAATGCGAAGTAAGATTTTTTCACGAAATATTGTAACTTCTTCATATTTCAAAATTGTGCAAATAAACATCAGGTTTGATGTCCAGTAGAATAAGATATGGACAAACAGATTAATTTGTAATATTTAGGAGCAATCGGGAATCGTTGGTATTGTCAAAGTCCTGTAAGCCTCACAAGGCGGGTAACTGAGTGCTAAAATGAACCACAAATGGTAAAAGAAGGGCTGTCAAAAAACCAAGTCGGGTCATGGATTGACAAATTCCAAAAGCATTTTTATCCCAAGTTGTCGTGGTTGCAGTGGAAGGTGAATGTATTTGTATCACAACGGACTGATGGAGAACTGAGCTTACATACAGCTCAAAGAGAGACATAAATTGTAGCGGAAAGCTGGAGAAGTGATTCTGTAGCAGCATATGGTGGGCAGGTGATGCCAACATATTTCAGTATTGTTCCCTTGCATACATTATGTAAATAATATACCTTTTTCCAGCTTAGTAATGATTTAGTTGGGAGATAACAAGAACACTATCATCTTTTTGCAGCTGGGAATTTTGCTAACATGTTCGAACAGTTTTAAAGTACTGTTTTGCTGTGTACATAATATAGTGAGAATTATTAATTATATTTGATAAAAGCTTTCAAATCTTGGGCATGTCTTTTAATTTTAAAATTTTGCATTTTTGACAGAATGAAGAAAACGAAAATGTTTTTGATTTTCCTTTGTCTTAAAGACTGACAATTATTCCTCTGTAAAATGCAAAACAAAACAAAAAAATAAAATAAATAAACTTAGACATTAAGGTTATGTATTGTTGCATGTTTACATTTACATCAGAAATAAACCTTACAATTGTTTTGGATAATCTGTGCTGTTTGAACCCTCTATCATTATAACCTGGAATATTCTTGAAAAATATTTTCTTGACGCTAAAAGCATTTCAAAAAGAAATTATTACCCCTGCCAAAGAAGTTGTTTTTGCATTTGTTGGTTTGTTAGTTTACAATCTTACTCGATAATTATGGTAAGATTGAGATAAAAAATATCAGGATGGGACAGGAATGGACTAACTTAGAACCACATAATTTTTGGTGGTGATCCATTACTTGGTTACAATGAAACTGCATTGGTAGAGAAGGCAACACTGACTGATTTTCTTATTCGTTCTTTAAGTTCTACAAGTTCCAGATTTATTTATTTTGCCCTTATTTTGTAAAATGTGTACTTTTTGTGATAATTATATTACACAAAAAGGTATATAAAATAGAGACGAGACTGAATGAAACCCAATTGACCAAGAGAACTGCCAGTTTTAAGGTGAGTTAAGCCATGAAGAAATGGACATATTGACCTTGCAAGTGGCAAACAAGGTCAGATCTTTCGGAAAACTTTTTAAAAGTTGTTAAAATATAATAGGAGGTGAAGAGAAATATTTGGATACATAAATAACAGACAATGTACTACAAAATATACATTCAGGGATGTGCCAATGGCCAGCTCCCCCCCCCCCCCCCACCCCCACACACACACACACACTGGCCACACCCCTCTTTCTCAATTAGCCATCACTTTTTTGTTGACCCCAAAAATAAAAAAGAGCACTGGCTGACTCACAGCTGTTAGGTCCATTCTAGAAGGCCATTGGCCTTCCATACTTTGGAGTATTTGATTGTTGTAGACGAATTAACCGATTGGTTGCCATGACTACCAATGGCTGTGGTTGATGAAAACTACTTGATCAGCAGTAAATCTTGTCTTGGCAAGCCCTTGGATGACTTCTTGTGCTGATGGGCAAATGATATGTGTTTCTTTTTAATCTCCATGTCTCTTAAACCCTCTGAAAAATTTTATATGATAATCCCAGACTTCCTATAGTTGTACTTCTCTCAGATGCTTAGTGTAATGGCTGGAAACTCGGTGAACTCTGACGGTCATGTTCAGAACATTAAACTTGTGCTCACGCATTAGATAATGAATAGTAACTTGCTCATGGCAAGATTTACCTGGGCATTCAAGGAGTAATTGATTTTCATCTACAGTACTTGAGCAATCATCATCAGTAAGATTGTTCATGGTTCCAAAGAATTGTATTAACTGATATTTTAGTGATATTGTAATCACTTACTTAATTAATTAAATACATAATTTTTTTTTGTGAAGCAGGTAAGCTGCACTCATCACAAGAGCATCATGAGGCTGAATGCTCACAGGTCATTGGGTGTTGGAAAACCTGTGAACAATTCTCACCAATTTGCCAATTACTACTACCCCCAGTGAGAATAGTTCACAGGTCTACCAACAGCCAACAACCCGTGGGCATTTAGCCTGATGATGCTCTGATGACAAGAGTGAAAGTTGGCTGTTCCAGTAAAATTTTGTTCAAAAGTATGTGATCACTGTCACTAAAATATCAGTAAGTTGAGCAATGATTTTTAATGACATTTGTCTTTACAAGGTTTCTTATCAACAGTGATCTTTACACGCATATAAGGTAAGTCTTCTGTGTTGTTAAATGATAAATGAAAAAGACGGATCATTTCCTTCCATCATTTTAAGTACAGAGTATGTCATATCTTTATTTTTGACCGAATGACAAAATTTACATATTTTACTAATGTAAAGACTGTAACTATTTTTCAAGTACACTATCTTCATAATAAAATGAAAGTGAGTTCACAAACTTTTATTAATTTTTAAATGGATAAATTGTATCTACTAGACCTTTTTGTAGCTAGAAATAAATAAATGACTTAAAATCAAGCAAAAAAATTCTGGAAATTTCAAAAATGTTCCCTTCATTACCAGGTTATGCTTTTCAAAATTGTTGAAAAAATTTATCCTTAAACATATTTCTGAGTTCTAAATTTCTACAGTTATAATGAGAAGTTGAATTCTGTTGCTCTCCATCTTCATTATGAGAATGACTGAAAATTTAGAAACTTTGAAAATGAAAAATAAAAAAATTGTCAATAGTTTTGGATAAATAGTAACTTGGTAATACAGGAAAGTGTTAAAATTTCTTGGAAATTTATTTAAATTTGCTAATATAAAAACTTTACTGGTCTCAGGTGGTTTTAAATATTTTGAAATATCTTTATTATCCTCTGTGATTAAAATAATAATAATAATAATAATAATAATTTTTATGTGAAAGCAAAATGCATAAATAAAAAAGAATAGTGGTAAAATAAAAAATAAAAATTTAAAAAATGAAGATAAACACCGACATTAAGGTGCCTGGTTCTTGGAAGATTCAAGAAGAGACACATTTAAAAGATCAATGGTTAAATTATATTTATTTCAATTCAGTTACAAGTATTGCAACATCTTTTATAATTTTTACTGTAAATGTTACATACGTATTTAATATGTGAAGGAAGCTAAACAAATTTACATATAGTATGTGTAACACTTTTTATGCAAAATTAGTCTTGTCTTACATGCTTTAACTGTTGCAATTGAACTGTAACTAAACATTATAGATTGTGACAAAAAACATTTAAACAAATTAGTTGTTTGTTAATAGCTCAAATTAACCTTGGCCTTTCAACCACTACCCGACCACAA